ATAACATGCGTGCGTCCCACAGCTCTCGCTTTCGCCCGAGGCTGACGCTGGAGCTGCGCAGCCGAGAGACAAGGTGAGACTGATGTACGACTTTAAAAGAAGGCTCCATAAAACAAGTGGCCCTCTCACAGCTGCCATGCATAACTTATGACTTAATGCAAGAAGGACTTCCTCTGGAGCAGGTCTCTGGAGGCCGCACTGTAATGACCAGACCACGGCTTTATTAGCGCTCCAACAGATGGGGAGATTGTAATAAACTTAAGCAATACGTGTGAGCAAAATGGAGGCTATTGACAAAGATGGAGACATGAATGGTGGTGTCAGTGCAGGCGCCCCCTGCTTTGGCCTCATGTAATATTGAAGTCTGGAGAGAGCTGGAGCAGTGGTGGGTCTGGCACCGCGGGGGTCCAGGGCTCATCCCGTCGTAATTGCATCGACCTCGCAAACTGTGTCTAGACTCGATTTGCTCATGAGCATTGACTAAAAGCAGCTAATAAGCAGATGGATATGTATTTTTATGAATAAATATGTCTTTGACAAGGTCTCAGTGAATACATGAGTGTTTGAAGCTGGAGAATCTAACTTTAAAAACCAAAAACAATGGAACGATGTCATTAAATCCATAGTTGCTCGCTCTCAAAACAGTTTAGTTCTATCGCTAGTTTTCAGACGGATGTATTTCTGGCCTCTGTCACATCTTTGGACAGAAAAGGGAAAAAGAGAGGACTACATTCACTCTGCCAATCAGCTCTCAGCCCAAAGCATCAAATGGTCACTCACAAGGCTCTTTCTTACAAGTTTACAAACCATGAAAAAACCGCTCTGATCAAAGTCCCATCTCCATGTGCCGCACGGAGAGACGGAGCCTGGCGACACTTTCAAAGACGACTTGGAACTTTGCCATAGCACTCAAGCCATGGAACAGTAATTGTAGATTAAATTGCAAACATATATACAGTATAAGTTTGCTTTCAGTATTGCATCCGGGTGCTGCACTGAAGACCGAGTGGCATTGCAACGGGTCAAATGCAGAGGACACATTTTCCTACAGGGACAATACATTAAACCATAAAGATGCAGTCAATGATTTTTTCCAACCGTGTATTAGAATTAATAACAAATATTTTATAGCGGACCGATAGAACCAATGCGATTTGTTCATCACCAACAAACCAATGGGATGCGTTAACCCCCTTCCTGTTTCTCGTGAGTGTGCGCACCTGAGTTATCGGATTTTCTAAAACCTAAAAGAGCTGAACAGAAAAGACCAATTTCACGTTTGCCACTCTACCTGTTGTGACAAAGAAAAGAAATGCTGGATGTTTGGTTTGGTGGAGAGGCGAGGGGGGGAGTGGTTTTCAGTTGGTGCTACGGCTAAGTAAGGGATAATGTATCGTACATAGGTCATTATTGGAAAATAAGTACCGACAGGGCGAAGCGGACCCCGACGCGCATACGGCTTTGTACCAACAGAACACACAAAATAAACTTCAGTACACTCTGGGAATGCCATAAGGTTTATTTAACGACAGAAAATTAAATAGTTCCCAAAGGCTTTCCCGTGGCTATGCGAGTAATAGTTAGGCTAGCAACAGTTAGGCTAGCAACAGTTAGGCTAGCAACTCCCAAACAAGAACTCTCTGGAACTGCATGAAAACTGAACAAAGAATTCTGAACATCAGCGGTGAGTGACCCAAACTAAACCCATAAAACCTGGAACTAATTTTGGGTTTTTCGCGATCGCTTTTTCTCGCATTAAAACAGTATTTTTCTCATGAAAACGTTAACAGAAAATTCTGAAATCCTCTGTGCATGTTTGTCGTAGAGCCATGAAATTCGGTACACATATTCCTGAAAAAAATATTATTATGGCCCCGCCCTCTGACAAACATGTCGGTTGGAAATTTTCTCCTCCTCGGCCGTTTCACCGATTCGTCTCAAAATCGCTCCACATTATCTCAACACATGTACCTTCAAAATGACCAAAGGGATTAATGATCAGTGAAACGTTGTTCGAGCAGCGGAGGGGCCGTTTTTGACAGTATTAAATTTGCTCCCGTTTGCACAAACAAAGTCTAATTCACACAAAACTCTAGGGTCTAGGTCATTTGAAAGTGAATTGATTCAAATTGACACATTAGCGCCCCCTACAGACTATTTCAAAAGTTTATATGGGAATTTTCACAATTAGTTTTTTCAAAATGTTTGAAATTTTGCACATACATCATACGTTTTGCCCTCTTGATTCAAAAGTCAAAAGGGTCCAAGGCTTATTTTTTACGACAAACGCTCCCCATTCATTGTCTATCGTAAATGTACGCCTCGCACAAACATCAAACCAGCCTCGGTCGTTTCACAGATTCGCCTCAAAATCGCTCCACATCATCTCAACACATGTACCATCAAAATTACCAAAGGGAATTTTGATCAGTGAAACGTTGTTTGAGCAGCGGAGCAGCAAAATGTGACCTTTTTTCCCCATTTTTGCACAAACTAAGTCCGATTTGCACCAAATCTGAATCGGTTGTTCAACTTTTGGGTTTGGGTAAACTGAAAGTGTAAAACTTTAAATTGCAGCATTAGCGCCCCCTACAGACTGAGTCAAGTTTTACATGGGTGAGAATGGCATTTACTTTGCACTAAACTTGACTTTGTTGTTCAACTCCTGGGCCTAGGTCTCCTGAAAGTGTGAACAATGACATTGTCCCATTAGCGCCCCCTACAGGCTGCCTAAAACTTTTACATAAGGGATACAGCGCATTTCGTTTTTCTGTTGTTTGATCTCATATTTAACCCACTGAGCATGCACAAAAACTCACCATATGCTTTTATTACGTTTTTTATGGCATCACATGAATTATTTTGATGTCTTTGGTATAAGACTAAAAAAAAATATTTGTAGGGGGCGCTATTTTGCAATGTAAATGACCAATGTTTGCACATGCAACATTTTATTTCAACTCTTGAGTTTGGGTAAACTGATAGTGTAAAACATGAAATTACTGCATAAGCGCCCCCTACAGACTGAGTCCAGTGTTACATAGGAAAAATGAGGTTTAGTTTTTCAATAGAGACACACAATCATTGATCATAGACATTCAAAATACAGTGTCGCTCCCATCAGGGCTTTAGGAAGATGGTGTGTCACATGGTCATCCAATGGAGACTGTATATATATGGACACACTCACAGATTATATGTGTAAACAGGAGCACATGTATTATGTCTGATTTGTACCCCGCAACTTTCGCAGTGCAGTAGCTCGCACGGTTTGGCGAGTCAGGCGTTGCCGGGAGTCACACGTTGCCGTGGGTCGCGTGGTAAGGGGAGTCGCACGTTGCCGGGAGTCGCGCGGAGCGGGGCGGTGTGGCGAGGGCCGTTCGACGCCGCTTGCGGCTTTAATTATTATTATTATTATCATAATATTATTATTGTAAACTCCCTCATACCTAAAAAAAAATAAAAAAAATAAAAGAGGTCCCTCCCTTAATTGGGGAGTAACTAAAACATGCATAATATATAATAAAAACTGTATATCTTTGTAGTTTGAATCTATTTGTATCACCCAAACTCAACAACTTCTGCTCTAAATCTGTATAAGAGGCAGGTAAAGTAATGCAGTGTGTAAGCTCTATTCATTTGGCTGTCACATGAAAAGATTACAAGACAATACAGACATCCCTAAGCATTAGATGAAACCAGAAATCCCGTCGCAGCTAATCAGTGCAAAACACGATTAATTTGAACTTTGAGATCAGCAATTATGCAAGAGGGGAAAAAGATGAAAAGTTGGAAGAACAAAGCTTGGTCTGACGGCTTCCTCAGACAATAACATCATTCAACCTGGAGAGACTACAAGAGACAAGGTGTGTTAAAGGTTTTATGCGTTTTGAGAGATTTTATGGATTGAGTTTGTTTATTGGTTTGGCGCATAGGCCCCGGCTGTGGCCGTGCTCTGAGGGGATATGCGCCTGGGTGCAGATCATGATCCCCAAAAGAGCTTGTGGAATGCGCATGGTTTCCGAGCGCAAGCTCAGTTCTAGTGCTGAGGCGTTGGCGCGCGCATGAGCTCGGTTTGAGTGCGCGGGATAATGTCCGAGCGCTGAGATATTGGCGCGTGCACAAGTTCGGCTCGAATGCTCAGCATGCTGGAAATGAGGAATGGCCACCACCGGGAGATGTATACGCACTAATGATGAGAGGGAGCGCTGGGCTGCAAGAATGGATGAAGGCGGTAGAGGTGCAGTGACCCAGCTGCTGGAGAGATCACTAAGGGAGCCCCAGGGCGGCAGCCCGCGTGGCTGCTCCTATCTGGAAGGAGTGACCGATGTAGAGAAGGGGAGAGAGGTTACATGCATGGTCCAGCCTGGTGTGATTACGTAGGTAGCCTAGCATCCTGAATCTCCGCTTAAAGTGACAGTCTGTAACTCTAAATTTTAGGAAATGTGTTGAATTGACCTCCTGGCCTTAAATGTTGATATAAAATAAGTCATTTTATTAATTCTAATATTACGGGCAAGTCCCCGCCTTCCCTTCTCTTAGCTATAGTTCAGAATCCACGATGCCGTCGTGGATTCCACACGTTAACCAATCGAGTCATGCCAAGGGCTGTCAATCATCGGCGCTGATGCTCGTAGCTGCGCGCATGCTCAGTTGTTTTTTTATTGCAGAACCTCCGAATCAAGCCTTTATAGGCTCTGGAACTACATGAAAACTGAACAAAGAATTCTGAACATCCGCGCTGAGTTACTTATGTACAGTATATACTGAAACTATATCCATAATCAGATCCTCTGCAGATGTGTCCTACAATGTGCAATTCATGATAATAGCTTCTTCTGGGTTTGCCGCGATCGCTTTTTTTGTGCATTAAAACATTATTTTTTTCATTAAAACGTTAACAAAAAAGCGTCAAAACAAGAAAACATGAGAATAACTGCTTGTGAATATTTTATTTATTCATGCTGAGATTTATACAGTCCCCCAATGGTTTAGGGGAATTAGCAGCGCAGGAGTTTCCTGTACCACTTTTGACGCTTCTTCTCCAGCTTCAGCTCCGTGGCCAACCACCTCTCCTCCAGCAGGGAGCGCTCTTCTTCCGTCTCCTTTAGTTTTTGAGTCAATGCAGTGGACTTAGCCTCCAGCAGAGAGCAGTTCTCTTCTGATTTTATCAGCTTTTGTTCCAATTCACTGGACTTGGCCTCCAGCAGAGTGCGCTCTTCTTCAGTTTCCGTGAGTTTTTGAGTCAATGCTCTGGACTTAACCTCCAGCAGGGAGCGCTCTTCTTCAGTGTCCATTAGTTTTTGGGACAGAGCACTAACCTTGACCTCCAGCAGAGAACACTCTTGCTGTACTGTGCTCTGTCCCTCTTTGAGATCCTCACAGTTTCTCAAAATGGCGGCCTTCTCCAGCTTCTCTCGCTCCAGCTCCTCCTTCAGTTCGTTCAGTGACTCGTTCAGGAATCGTTTGGCCTCTTCTTCTGTTTGGAGTCGGGCCTGAACCTCCTGAACCTGCAGCTTCAGATTGATCTTCCTGTCCCTGGACTTTTTGATCACGTCTGTCATCACGTCTATCTCCATTTCTTTATCCTGGATTTCCTGACGCATTAGGATGTTCTCTTCAGTCTCTTTTTGCAGTCGCCCGTCCAGTTTGCCACATCTCTTTGAGAGCTTCTCCAGTTCCTTTTTGAGATTTCCTAAAGAAGCTTCCAGCTGACCGTTCTTCTCCAGCAGCAGTTTGCTTTCTGTCTCTGTCTTTAGAAGTTGGGCCTTAACTTCCTCTGTTTGTTGGCAGAGAAATTGTTTTTCAAGATGCCATACTCGGTGTTGCCGCAGCGAGTTTTCTTTCATTGTCTCAGTCATTTCTTTTAGTTCAGTGACCTGGCTTTTCAAACTCTCTATGTCCTCGTTCCTTGACTGAATCTGTGCTTTCAGTTCCCCAGACTCATTGAGCAGTGAGCTGTTCTTTTCTCTCACTTTTGCTCAGTTCAGCCTCCACGTCCTGCTTTGCTTTGGCTTGCTGCCTGAGTTGGATCTCATGTGCACAGATGATCCGCTTTGTTTTGTTGAGCAAATTCAACTTCACGTCCTCAAGCTCTTTCTTACGTTCTTGGACGCTCATTTCATGCGCAACTTGGAGAGCATGAATTGTGTCGTCTTTACGCTCAAGCGCTCTAATCCTCTGTTCCACCTCTTCCTGCAGATTGGCCTCTCTAGTTTTGGCCTGTGAAGCTTTAGCCGCCATGTCCAGCTTCAGCTTCACGAGGGCCATGCCCATCTCGTCCTCTGACTTTCTCCTCAGCCGACGTTCATTGACCACTTGTAGTCTGAGTCGGTTAATTTCACCCATGGACTTTCCAGTGGTGTCCAAATGCTGAAAGCTCCCTGTCTCCAGCTCTTCAGCAGTTAAAAAGCCTCTGACCAGTTTCACAGCTGGTTCAGAGAGTCCTTTCTCCTCTTCTGCTGGTTCAGAGGGATGGACCTCTTCAGGTTTTTCACCCAGCACTTCCATGAGGTTGAATTCCTCAGTGTAAAATGCTTCGTTGTCCTCCAGTGTGTATTCGTACCAGTTTTTGTGCATTTTGATCATCTGCTCTGATATTGCTTCTTGTATTTCAAGGCTCAAATGTGGTTATCAAATTACTTAAGATGTTCCAGGCTTGAAGGCTTTTAAAAGTTCTAGAACCTCTTCGTGTCATATTGTGTTGCCATGGAAATGGAATGCCAATTTAGAAAATAGAACATTACCTCGTCTTAAAAGGAAATTCCGTGTTGCCATGGATATGGAATGCCAAAATGGAATTATTAAACATGGCGTCAACATTCTCACATTTTGTTTGAGTGTCGGTATTAAGGGGCAGTCCACAGACACAATATTTATGATTCAATGAAAATTAAAATTTCTACATTTCAATTCCATTTTATTTTGTTTTATTTTGTGTAGAAAGATGGAGTAGATACTTTATTGATCCCCCGTAGGAGAAATTCATGTGTCCAGCAGCAGAAATACAACCTTCTGTATATGCATAGACTTAGGGCACGGTCACATAGGTTTTTACAAACAAACCAGGCCAAGTGGGTGTGAAAACGACCCGCGGCCACATGAACGTGTTGTCTGAACCGTGCCACAGTAGTACAACGCCCAGTCCAGCTGGTGGCGCTAATAATAACTCCAGTGACTACCACGTTGTCCGAGTTGAGTTTCCGCTTCTTTTCCTGTTTACATTCTGCTACTGCAGCTAGCAGGTTCGAGCATGCAATGCGTTGTTTGCATCAGAGCAGTGTGAACAAGTGTGAGATATGTCTTTCCCCAAGATGCAGCGGTGGGACACGTGTGTGTTGTCTGTGTGTGCGGGTGCGCCACGGACACGGGAGCGCGCCTTTATAGTAACGAGCGTAAAGCGCTGAGAATGAAAGACAGAAAAGTGGCTAGAAGGGACCGGAGCGTGTGTGCGTGCGTGTACAGTATGTGTGTGTTCTGGCGATTAAATAAAGACTGATTCTTGAATGTCTGAAGTGTTGTTGCAATAGTAGTGCACTAAGAGCGAGGGTCAGGACAGAAGAGAGCTATACTCGTAGGATGTACTGCGGTCCGGGGCTTATATGAAAGGTTTAACACAGCGGAGAATACGAAAGTGCAGGGAGAGATTGTGTGAAAATGAGTGTCACAGGAAGACGTAATGTGAAGCACAATATCAAGTCCCTACCACACCTCACTCCCCACCACCCGCGACACTGACCCCCCTCATCTGCGCAGGGAGGCGGGCCCTGGCCGCAGTTTTGATCCCTGCCTCAGCACGGTCCTGGAATCGTGGTGAGGCACACATGCTGCGGTCACATTGCACCTAAACCCCGGATCTAATCGAGAAGCGGGCCCTGGCACACTTTAACCGGGCTCTGGCCTGTGCATGTGACCGCAGCCTAAGAGGCAGGTAAAGTAAAGCAGTGTGTAAGCTCTATTCATTTGGCTGTCACATGAAAAGATTACAAGACAATACAGACATCCCTAAGCATTAGATGAAACCAGAAATCCCGTCGCAGCTAATCAGTGCAAAACACGATTAATTTGAACTTTGAGATCAGCAATTATGCAAGAGGGGAAAAAGATGAAAAGTTGGAAGAACAAAGCTTGGTCTGACGGCTTCCTCAGACAATAACATCATTCAACCTGGAGAGACTACAAGAGACAAGGTGTGTTAAAGGTTTTATGCGTTTTGAGAGATTTTATGGATTGAGTTTGTTTATTGGTTTGGCGCATAGGCCCCGGCTGTGGCCGTGCTCTGAGGGGATATGCGCCTGGGTGCAGATCATGATCCCCAAAAGAGCTTGTGGAATGCGCATGGTTTCCGAGCGCAAGCTCAGTTCTAGTGCTGAGGCGTTGGCGCGCGCATGAGCTCGGTTTGAGTGCGCGGGATAATGTCCGAGCGCTGAGATATTGGCGCGTGCACAAGTTCGGCTCGAATGCTCAGCATGCTGGAAATGAGGAATGGCCACCACCGGGAGATGTATACGCACTAATGATGAGAGGGAGCGCTGGGCTGCAAGAATGGATGAAGGCGGTAGAGGTGCAGTGACCCAGCTGCTGGAGAGATCACTAAGGGAGCCCCAGGGCGGCAGCCCGCGTGGCTGCTCCTATCTGGAAGGAGTGACCGATGTAGAGAAGGGGAGAGAGGTTACATGCATGGTCCAGCCTGGTGTGATTACGTAGGTAGCCTAGCATCCTGAATCTCCGCTTAAAGTGACAGTCTGTAACTCTAAATTTTAGGAAATGTGTTGAATTGACCTCCTGGCCTTAAATGTTGATATAAAATAAGTCATTTTATTAATTCTAATATTACGGGCAAGTCCCGCCTTCCCTTCTCTTAGCTATAGTTCAGAATCCACGATGCCGTCGTGGATTCCACACGTTAACCAATCGAGTCATGCCAAGGGCTGTCAATCATCGGCGCTGATGCTCGTAGCTGCGCGCATGCTCAGTTGTTTTTTTATTGCAGAACCTCCGAATCAAGCCTTTATAGGCTCTGGAACTACATGAAAACTGAACAAAGAATTCTGAACATCCGCGCTGAGTTACTTATGTACAGTATATACTGAAACTATATCCATAATCAGATCCTCTGCAGATGTGTCCTACAATGTGCAATTCATGATAATAGCTTCTTCTGGGTTTGCCGCGATCGCTTTTTTTGTGCATTAAAACATTATTTTTTTCATTAAAACGTTAACAAAAAAGCGTCAAAACAAGAAAACATGAGAATAACTGCTTGTGAATATTTTATTTATTCATGCTGAGATTTATACAGTCCCCCAATGGTTTAGGGGAATTAGCAGCGCAGGAGTTTCCTGTACCACTTTTGACGCTTCTTCTCCAGCTTCAGCTCCGTGGCCAACCACCTCTCCTCCAGCAGGGAGCGCTCTTCTTCCGTCTCCTTTAGTTTTTGAGTCAATGCAGTGGACTTAGCCTCCAGCAGAGAGCAGTTCTCTTCTGATTTTATCAGCTTTTGTTCCAATTCACTGGACTTGGCCTCCAGCAGAGTGCGCTCTTCTTCAGTTTCCGTGAGTTTTTGAGTCAATGCTCTGGACTTAACCTCCAGAGGGAGCGCTCTTCTTCAGTGTCCATTAGTTTTTGGGACAGAGCACTAACCTTGACCTCCAGCAGAGAACACTCTTGCTGTACTGTGCTCTGTCCCTCTTTGAGATCCTCACAGTTTCTCAAAATGGCGGCCTTCTCCAGCTTCTCTCGCTCCAGCTCCTCCTTCAGTTCGTTCAGTGACTCGTTCAGGAATCGTTTGGCCTCTTCTTCTGTTTGGAGTCGGGCCTGAACCTCCTGAACCTGCAGCTTCAGATTGATCTTCCTGTCCCTGGACTTTTTGATCACGTCTGTCATCACGTCTATCTCCATTTCTTTATCCTGGATTTTTCCTGACGCATTAGGATGTTCTCTTCAGTCTCTTTTTGCAGTCGCCCGTCCAGTTTGCCACATCTCTTTGAGAGCTTCTCCAGTTCCTTTTTGAGATTTCCTAAAGAAGCTTCCAGCTGACCGTTCTTCTCCAGCAGCAGTTTGCTTTCTGTCTCTGTCTTTAGAAGTTGGGCCTTAACTTCCTCTGTTTGTTGGCAGAGAAATTGTTTTTCAAGATGCCATACTCGGTGTTGCCGCAGCGAGTTTTCTTTCATTGTCTCAGTCATTTCTTTTAGTTCAGTGACCTGGCTTTTCAAACTCTCTATGTCCTCGTTCCTTGACTGAATCTGTGCTTTCAGTTCCCCAGACTCATTGAGCAGTGAGCTGTTCTTTTCTCTCACTTTGCTCAGTTCAGCCTCCACGTCCTGCTTTGCTTTGGCTTGCTGCCTGAGTTGGATCTCATGTGCACAGATGATCCGCTTTGTTTTGTTGAGCAAATTCAACTTCACGTCCTCAAGCTCTTTCTTACGTTCTTGGACGCTCATTTCATGCGCAACTTGGAGAGCATGAATTGTGTCGTCTTTACGCTCAAGCGCTCTAATCCTCTGTTCCACCTCTTCCTGCAGATTGGCCTCTCTAGTTTTGGCCTGTGAAGCTTTAGCCGCCATGTCCAGCTTCAGCTTCACGAGGGCCATGCCCATCTCGTCCTCTGACTTTCTCCTCAGCCGACGTTCATTGACCACTTGTAGTCTGAGTCGGTTAATTTCACCCATGGACTTTCCAGTGGTGTCCAAATGCTGAAAGCTCCCTGTCTCCAGCTCTTCAGCAGTTAAAAAGCCTCTGACCAGTTTCACAGCTGGTTCAGAGAGTCCTTTCTCCTCTTCTGCTGGTTCAGAGGGATGGACCTCTTCAGGTTTTTCACCCAGCACTTCCATGAGGTTGAATTCCTCAGTGTAAAATGCTTCGTTGTCCTCCAGTGTGTATTCGTACCAGTTTTTGTGCATTTTGATCATCTGCTCTGATATTGCTTCTTTATTTCAAGGCTCAAATGTGGTTATCAAATTACTTAAGATGTTCCAGGCTTGAAGGCTTTTAAAAGTTCTAGAACCTCTTCGTGTCATATTGTGTTGCCATGGAAATGGAATGCCAATTTAGAAAATAGAACATTACCTCGTCTTAAAAGGAAATTCCGTGTTGCCATGGATATGGAATGCCAAAATGGAATTATTAAACATGGCGTCAACATTCTCACATTTTGTTTGAGTGTCGGTATTAAGGGGCAGTCCACAGACACAATATTTATGATTCAATGAAAATTAAAATTTCTACATTTCAATTCCATTTTATTTTGTTTTATTTTGTGTAGAAAGATGGAGTAGATACTTTATTGATCCCCCGTAGGAGAAATTCATGTGTCCAGCAGCAGAAATACAACCTTCTGTATATGCATAGACTTAGGGCACGGTCACATAGGTTTTTACAAACAAACCAGGCCAAGTGGGTGTGAAAACGACCCGCGGCCACATGAACGTGTTGTCTGAACCGTGCCACAGTAGTACAACGCCCAGTCCAGCTGGTGGCGCTAATAATAACTCCAGTGACTACCACGTTGTCCGAGTTGAGTTTCCGCTTCTTTTCCTGTTTACATTCTGCTACTGCAGCTAGCAGGTTCGAGCATGCAATGCGTTGTTTGCATCAGAGCAGTGTGAACAAGTGTGAGATATGTCTTTCCCCAAGATGCAGCGGTGGGACACGTGTGTGTTGTCTGTGTGTGCGGGTGCGCCACGGACACGGGAGCGCGCCTTTATAGTAACGAGCGTAAAGCGCTGAGAATGAAAGACAGAAAAGTGGCTAGAAGGGACCGGAGCGTGTGTGCGTGCGTGTACAGTATGTGTGTGTTCTGGCGATTAAATAAAGACTGATTCTTGAATGTCTGAAGTGTTGTTGCAATAGTAGTGCACTAAGAGCGAGGGTCAGGACAGAAGAGAGCTATACTCGTAGGATGTACTGCGGTCCGGGGCTTATATGAAAGGTTTAACACAGCGGAGAATACGAAAGTGCAGGGAGAGATTGTGTGAAAATGAGTGTCACAGGAAGACGTAATGTGAAGCACAATATCAAGTCCCTACCACACCTCACTCCCCACCACCCGCGACACTGACCCCCCTCATCTGCGCAGGGAGGCGGGCCCTGGCCGCAGTTTTGATCCCTGCCTCAGCACGGTCCTGGAATCGTGGTGAGGCACACATGCTGCGGTCACATTGCACCTAAACCCCGGATCTAATCGAGAAGCGGGCCCTGGCACACTTTAACCGGGCTCTGGCCTGTGCATGTGACCGCAGCCTAAGAGGCAGGTAAAGTAAAGCAGTGTGTAAGCTCTATTCATTTGGCTGTCACATGAAAAGATTACAAGACAATACAGACATCCCTAAGCATTAGATGAAACCAGAAATCCCGTCGCAGCTAATCAGTGCAAAACACGATTAATTTGAACTTTGAGATCAGCAATTATGCAAGAGGGGAAAAAGATGAAAAGTTGGAAGAACAAAGCTTGGTCTGACGGCTTCCTCAGACAATAACATCATTCAACCTGGAGAGACTACAAGAGACAAGGTGTGTTAAAGGTTTTATGCGTTTTGAGAGATTTTATGGATTGAGTTTGTTTATTGGTTTGGCGCATAGGCCCCGGCTGTGGCCGTGCTCTGAGGGGATATGCGCCTGGGTGCAGATCATGATCCCCAAAAGAGCTTGTGGAATGCGCATGGTTTCCGAGCGCAAGCTCAGTTCTAGTGCTGAGGCGTTGGCGCGCGCATGAGCTCGGTTTGAGTGCGCGGGATAATGTCCGAGCGCTGAGATATTGGCGCGTGCACAAGTTCGGCTCGAATGCTCAGCATGCTGGAAATGAGGAATGGCCACCACCGGGAGATGTATACGCACTAATGATGAGAGGGAGCGCTGGGCTGCAAGAATGGATGAAGGCGGTAGAGGTGCAGTGACCCAGCTGCTGGAGAGATCACTAAGGGAGCCCCAGGGCGGCAGCCCGCGTGGCTGCTCCTATCTGGAAGGAGTGACCGATGTAGAGAAGGGGAGAGAGGTTACATGCATGGTCCGCCTGGTGTGATTACGTAGGTAGCCTAGCATCCTGAATCTCCGCTTAAAGTGACAGTCTGTAACTCTAAATTTTAGGAAATGTGTTGAATTGACCTCCTGGCCTTAAATGTTGATATAAAATAAGTCATTTTATTAATTCTAATATTACGGGCAAGTCCCGCCTTCCCTTCTCTTAGCTATAGTTCAGAATCCACGATGCCGTCGTGGATTCCACACGTTAACCAATCGAGTCATGCCAAGGGCTGTCAATCATCGGCGCTGATGCTCGTAGCTGCGCGCATGCTCAGTTGTTTTTTTATTGCAGAACCTCCGAATCAAGCCTTTATAGGCTCTGGAACTACATGAAAACTGAACAAAGAATTCTGAACATCCGCGCTGAGTTACTTATGTACAGTATATACTGAAACTATATCCATAATCAGATCCTCTGCAGATGTGTCCTACAATGTGCAATTCATGATAATAGCTTCTTCTGGGTTTGCCGCGATCGCTTTTTTTGTGCATTAAAACATTATTTTTTTCATTAAAACGTTAACAAAAAAGCGTCAAAACAAGAAAACATGAGAATAACTGCTTGTGAATATTTTATTTATTCATGCTGAGATTTATACAGTCCCCCAATGGTTTAGGGGAATTAGCAGCGCAGGAGTTTCCTGTACCACTTTTGACGCTTCTTCTCCAGCTTCAGCTCCGTGGCCAACCACCTCTCCTCCAGCAGGGAGCGCTCTTCTTCCGTCTCCTTTAGTTTTTGAGTCAATGCAGTGGACTTAGCCTCCAGCAGAGAGCAGTTCTCTTCTGATTTTATCAGCTTTTGTTCCAATTCACTGGACTTGGCCTCCAGCAGAGTGCGCTCTTCTTCAGTTTCCGTGAGTTTTTGAGTCAATGCTCTGGACTTAACCTCCAGCAGGGAGAGCGCTCTTCTTCAGTGTCCATTAGTTTTTGGGACAGAGCACTAACCTTGACCTCCAGCAGAGAACACTCTTGCTGTACTGTGCTCTGTCCCTCTTTGAGATCCTCACAGTTTCTCAAAATGGCGGCCTTCTCCAGCTTCTCTCGCTCCAGCTCCTCCTTCAGTTCGTTCAGTGACTCGTTCAGGAATCGTTTGGCCTCTTCTTCTGTTTGGAGTCGGGCCTGAACCTCCTGAACCTGCAGCTTCAGATTGATCTTCCTGTCCCTGGACTTTTTGATCACGTCTGTCATCACGTCTATCTCCATTTCTTTATCCTGGATTTCCTGACGCATTAGGATGTTCTCTTCAGTCTCTTTTTGCAGTCGCCCGTCCAGTTTGCCACATCTCTTTGAGAGCTTCTCCAGTTCCTTTTTGAGATTTCCTAAAGAAGCTTCCGCTGACCGTTCTTCTCCAGCAGCAGTTTGCTTTCTGTCTCTGTCTTTAGAAGTTGGGCCTTAACTTCCTCTGTTTGTTGGCAGAGAAATTGTTTTTCAAGATGCCATACTCGGTGTTGCCGCAGCGAGTTTTCTTTCATTGTCTCAGTCATTTCTTTTAGTTCAGTGACCTGGCTTTTCAAACTCTCTATGTCCTCGTTCCTTGACTGAATCTGTGCTTTCAGTTCCCCAGACTCATTGAGCAGTGAGCTGTTCTTTTCTCTCACTTTGCTCAGTTCAGCCTCCACGTCCTGCTTTGCTTTGGCTTGCTGCCTGAGTTGGATCTCATGTGCACAGATGATCCGCTTTGTTTTGTTGAGCAAATTCAACTTCACGTCCTCAAGCTCTTTCTTACGTTCTTGGACGCTCATTTCATGCGCAACTTGGAGAGCATGAATTGTGTCGTCTTTACGCTCAAGCGCTCTAATCCTCTGTTCCACCTCTTCCTGCAGATTGGCCTCTCTAGTTTTGGCCTGTGAAGCTTTAGCCGCCATGTCCAGCTTCAGCTTCACGAGGGCCATGCCCATCTCGTCCTCTGACTTTCTCCTCAGCCGACGTTCATTGACCACTTGTAGTCTGAGTCGGTTAATTTCACCCATGGACTTTCCAGTGGTGTCCAAATGCTGAAAGCTCCCTGTCTCCAGCTCTTCAGCAGTTAAAAAGCCTCTGACCAGTTTCACAGCTGGTTCAGAGAGTCCTTTCTCCTCTTCTGCTGGTTCAGAGGGATGGACCTCTTCAGGTTTTTCACCCAGCACTTCCATGAGGTTGAATTCCTCAGTGTAAAATGCTTCGTTGTCCTCCAGTGTGTATTCGTACCAGTTTTTGTGCATTTTGATCATCTGCTCTGATATTGCTTCTTGTATTTCAAGGCTCAAATGTGGTTATCAAATTACTTAAGATGTTCCAGGCTTGAAGGCTTTTAAAAGTTCTAGACTCCTTTCGTGTCATATTGTGTTGCCATGGAAATGGAATGCCAATTTAGAAAATAGAACATTACCTCGTCTTAAAAGGAAATTCCGTGTTGCCATGGATATGGAATGCCAAAATGGAATTATTAAACATGGCGTCAACATTCTCACATTTTGTTTGAGTGTCGGTATTAAGGGGCAGTCCACAGACACAATATTTATGATTCAATGAAAATTAAAATTTCTACATTTCAATTCCATTTTATTTTGTTTTATTTTGTGTAGAAAGATGGAGTAGATACTTTATTGATCCCCCGTAGGAGAAATTCATGTGTCCAGCAGCAGAAATACAACCTTCTGTATATGCATAGACTTAGGGCACGGTCACATAGGTTTTTACAAACAAACCAGGCCAAGTGGGTGTGAAAACGACCCGCGGCCACATGAACGTGTTGTCTGAACCGTGCCACAGTAGTACAACGCCCAGTCCAGCTGGTGGCGCTAATAATAACTCCAGTGACTACCACGTTGTCCGAGTTGAGTTTCCGCTTCTTTTCCTGTTTACATTCTGCTACTGCAGCTAGCAGGTTCGAGCATGCAATGCGTTGTTTGCATCAGAGCAGTGTGAACAAGTGTGAGATATGTCTTTCCCCAAGATGCAGCGGTGGGACACGTGTGTGTGTTGTCTGTGTGTGCGGGTGCGCCACGGACACGGGAGCGCGCCTTTATAGTAACGAGCGTAAAGCGCTGAGAATGAAAGACAGAAAAGTGGCTAGAAGGGACCGGAGCGTGTGTGCGTGCGTGTACAGTATGTGTGTGTTCTGGCGATTAAATAAAGACTGATTCTTGAATGTCTGAAGTGTTGTTGCAATAGTAGTGCACTAAGAGCGAGGGTCAGGACAGAAGAGAGCTATACTCGTAGGATGTACTGCGGTCCGGGGCTTATATGAAAGGTTTAACACAGCGGAGAATACGAAAGTGCAGGGAGAGATTGTGTGAAAATGAGTGTCACAGGAAGACGTAATGTGAAGCACAATATCAAGTCCCTACCACACCTCACTCCCCACCACCCGCGACACTGACCCCCCTCATCTGCGCAGGGAGGCGGGCCCTGGCCGCAGTTTTGATCCCTGCCTCAGCACGGTCCTGGAATCGTGGTGAGGCACACATGCTGCGGTCACATTGCACCTAAACCCCGGATCTAATCGAGAAGCGGGCCCTGGCACACTTTAACCGGGCTCTGGCCTGTGCATGTGACCGCAGCCTAAGAGGCAGGTAAAGTAAAGCAGTGTGTAAGCTCTATTCATTTGGCTGTCACATGAAAAGATTACAAGACAATACAAACATCCCTAAGCATCAGATGAAGCCAGAAATCCTCAGGCGTCGCAGGTAATCAGTGCAAAACATGATTAATTTGCACTTTGATTGAGATCAGCAATTATGCAAGAGGGAAAAAAGATGAGAAGTTGGAAGAACAAAGCTTGGTCTGACGGCTTCCTCAGACAATAACACCATTCACAGCAGAGAATTTCTCAACGCCAACTCGGCGACCATTTCGCTGCCCAGAGAGGTGACACATACTCCCTCTGACCCCGCAGTTTTTCATGCCACAAATAAAAAGAGATAAAGTCATGTTGTTTTGAAGTTATAATCTGAAGTAGCGCTGAGGCAGAGGAATCAAGATGGAGATAAGGCTTTTATAAATATACACAATAGACAAACAGCCGGGCACTTTCAATGACTAGAATGTCTTTGTACTCAAAGCATAGGCTGTATGTAGATGAACAATGCTAACCCGCTAGCTCAATGCAGCACACTAGGGAAGTGCTCAGGGACAATGTTTGGCTCCTATTGACGTACATTGAAAAGTAAACTCCTCTAGCTCAGTAATAGTTTGTGTCACATTCACCATTTTGGGCTTAAAAAATACATGGTGTGGCTCCCTCTAAGATCCTGGTGTTTATATTGTGATATTATCTTCATAAATCCAGGTTTGACCAATCAGGTGCCTTCATTCATTGGCAATATTAGCAATGTTTAACATTGCAACAGCCCATATGAGGAAAATGGTTCTAACTATAGCTTCTGTTCAAATCGGCTTCTTCCGCATTCATGGGTGACATCAGTGCTTCATGTCTAATACACGGCTTTTGGTTCAGAGATACAGTATGATGGAGAAGATCCTGCAGTTAAGATGGTAGTTAGTGTTATTGTCATGGACTTAGCCTTGACCAGATGAGAATATTTACTCTGTTGTTCCTTGTTTTAGAATATCAAATCATATTTGGTGTAGAAAATATATGGTATCAAGAAAAAATAACTAGTCCCGCCCTATCCTTATGCTACCATAGAGGGTGTAGAAAATATTCCTAAATACAAAATTGTTGTCTACAAACACAGTTGTCTGACTGTAAAGAATGTAATTTTACTGATGGGAGTAACACTGTGCTTCCCAGATATCAATGGGTGATGACAGAAAACTGCTGAGTGTGATGTCATAGTGGAAAGACTGAGACGAGAGTTTTTTGACAGAAGGGGCGAAGTTACAAGTTTGAAGCAGAAGTTCCTGATATTAGTGTGGATGTATCAACTCCAGGTCTGTTTTTTGATAATGAACAATGTTGCAACACGGTTAAAAGTTCTAAAATGTTGATGTTGGACGTCCCATAACTGACCTTTACTGTAAACACTGGATCTACAGCCTGTCCGTCTGAAGAAGCAGGTCCCTCTCATTATGGGACTCCCCAAGGTTTTTTGTCGTTGCTGTTCCTTGCTGACACAGGACAGTGATAATACATGAGACATTTGTTTATATTTATACACAGTGGTTATCGCGCTCCCTATGGACCAATGGCTCCTGTTTATTTTTTAAGTTATTATAGTATCTCCTCTTTTTATTCTCTGATCTGTTGTCGGTGGCAGTCCCCTGAGACGACAGCTGTTGTGATTCAGGGCATTATATAAAAAAAGTTGACAAATGATAACACCATTTATATTTTAGACTAGCCCAATTGTACAATAACTTTATGAAAGCGGTGGTGGAAGACGTTTTGTTTGCACAGATACAGGAGCAAAACCTTTGAAAATAAATGTTCTCTCCAATTTCTGTGGACTCTGGTGCACTATTCTTGAGCCGTACAGCTGCGGGCACTGCAGAGAAGAAGTACTATTGGATTTTATTTATAAAGCTGGCAGACGTGTATCTTTAAATATGTTACTTTTGTCTCTGAGCAGAAATTTGGAAAAAGACTTATGTATAATGAAAGTGGATACAACTGAACGACTATGTTTTTTTTTTTTTTTCATTTCATTTCATTTTTTACATCCCTTTATTTTCCATTTCTGGGTCAGGGGGATGGCAATCAGAACTGCCACCCAATTCACACAGCACCAGTCCCTTGCTGATCTTCCTGCAGGTGGTGGGTCCACGGGAAGATGGCTGCTCCTTCGACACAGATGCAGCCTTGGTCTTTTCAGCGGGGACTTCAGGCACATTGGGGTTAAGTGTCTTGCCCAGGGACACAACGACAGCAGACATCAGTGGGAGCAGTTGACATAGGTCGTGGTGGGATCTAACCCACGACCATTAGGTCCAAAGACCATTACTCTACCAACTGAGCTACTGTCGCCCCCTATGTTTTTATATGTTCTAATTACCTTTGTCTGTCTTTTACTGTAATATTTTAACTAACTTTACTGAACATGTATGTATATGTTTTATTTTAATTGCCATGTTTTTGGGAGCATTTTACAACTTGCCTATAGGAACTACAGAAGGAAACTAGCTGTATACCCAATACTGGCGTGTTCACAGTTATGTTGATTATGTGTACTGTCCTCGATCAAATTAACTAATAAAATACCTATAGAAAACCTAACTTTTTATTTTTTAATTTGAATCCATTACAAATGTTGTCTATTTATCTACATGAGTTAGCTCCAAAGGCCATGCTGTTGTACCGTTGATTGTTTTTGATGCCTTGAAATTTGTTATTGAAAAGTAATCGCAAATGGCCCTGAATATTTCATGGGTAAAAAAATAAAACAAAAACCCTGTATTCATCACAAGTATAAGAAGTAGCAACTGTATTCCAGAGGTTCTAAGCTTTAGAGTGATAATGTAATATGGCGGAATCTGAAGTTGTGTTACTATGATCTTTGTGGTTCTCAAAACTAAATGTATGGATTGTGATATTAAATCTAATTTAAGGAATAACAGGTTTTCAGCAGATTAAGATTTAAAATGAGGCATAGGACGTCTATATTCGAGGGGTTAAAGTTTGAAGTTGTGGCCGCAAGCTTTTATATATACCCACAATTGTTAGCTTTAGCTGTAAAAACTTTAGATCAGCTGTACCCAAGGCTTCAGGAGTGAGGCCCTTTGGTCAAATGGCACGGCGGCACAGGCGGCACGGTGGCTGAGTGGATAGCACTCTCGCCTCTCAGCAAGAAGGTGCTGGGTTCGAATCCCGGTCGGACCAGGGCCTTTCTGAGTGGAGTTTGCATGTTCTCCCCGTGTCTGCGTAGGTTTCCTCTGGGTACTCCGGTTTCCCCTACCACTAAAAATATGTACAATAGTTCTGGCATGCGCCTCCTGTTCGGCGACCCCGCTCCCATCTCTGTGTGGAGTGAGAGGACCAATGCCCAAAAAATAATAACAATTGTAAACCGCTTTGTGACCCTTGTCTGTGAAAGGCGGTATATAAATAAACATTACTAAATGAAAGATCCTGCTGGGCTCCAATAAAAGATGGAGTGCCAGAAGTAAAATGTGATTCTTATTAGCTTGAAGCAAATACCCTTAGATGGTTTTGATGTGAACTGTATCAACAAACGCTACATAAGAGATAGAATTGTGCATATTTGGTTAACATTGGCACACAGATTTCCATATTTTTGTACTTGTACTTTTGAGTATATAC